CAATCTTTTCATAGCTAGAAGTAGCCCTTCAAATCTTCTTGAAATTCAACTCTCACAATCATGCAAAGCACTTAAAGTGGCTCAATGAATATTTTTATTGAAAGTACTGGCCTGGCAAGATGCTTTTTAGTTTAGATATAGATACTGTTTATTAACACGCCAAAAGAAAAGGTTCTGATCTGAAAGCACATAAAAGCTCAATGAGGTTATAAAGTTTCTTTAACTATGTAGTAGCACCGTAGTAATATTTTTTGTAACTTTTTTCTAACTACTTTTTCTCATTTCTCACAGCAGATTGAATCTCAATCATAGATTGCCAAATTGATTGTGAAATGATCATTATATATAATTTATTACCTAGCTAGAAAAGGAATACAAAAACTTAATATGGGGTGAAACTATATATAAACAACCCGATCTATCCACTTAATCCTTAAGGTATAAATTCTTTCATTCCTTTATTCTCAATCTTTTATGCAAGAATGTAATTGCCTTAAAAAGGGGTTCATAATAAACAAATATGAGAGAAACAATTGTTTTTGATAAAAAAGTACAATTGCTGCATCATTATTCCTCCTTCAAATTGACAATGATAAGTTGATAACACATAAAGGAAGAAGAAGAAACAAAACCAGTAACAAGGGGTCACATTCTCTCCCATGTTTTATGTCGGAGGAACTTCCAATAAAGTCCAAAGCTTCACTGTCCTTAAGTGAACATTTCTATCTGCTTTGAAATACCAGTCCATAAACCTGACAAACCCTTGAAAATGACCAAAACTAATCAATGGTTTATTCTTATACTAGCCTTATTATACATCGAATCATTTACATTAACCATCTTCCTTTGTCCTTTCAATTACTCCCACAAAAATTAGAGATATCACTCTCTGTCAGTGTTCTATCCATTCCCCACATCATCACCCTTCAGTAAAGAGTGCAAATGGTAGACAACTAAGAAATTGATGAAGCAGAAGAAGAACAAGATGCAGCTGAAAACTCAGTTCTTCTTCTTCTTATTCTTCAGTTATATTTCCTGTTTCTCTTGTGGTTTTGATGCTGCAACGAATGATGAAGCATCTGTTTTACTTTCTATACAATCAGGTCTCATTGATCCGTTGAATAAGCTACATGATTGGAAATTGTTGGACAAAGCACCAGGGAAGGATGCAGTTCATTGCAACTGGACTGGTGTCAAGTGCAATTCAGCTGGAGCTGTAGAGAAGCTTGATCTCTCCCACATGAATCTGAGTGGAAGTGTATCCAATGAGATACAAAGGCTAAAAAGTCTCACTTCTCTCAACTTGTGCTGCAATGGATTTTCTTCATCATTGTCAAAATCCATAGCCAATCTCACCACACTGAAGAGTCTTGATGTGAGCCAGAATTTCTTCATTGGTGATTTTCCATTAGGCCTTGGAAAGACATCAGGACTTGTGACCTTAAACGCATCCAGCAACAATTTCTCAGGTTTTCTTCCTGAGGACCTTGGAAATGTCTCTTCCTTAGAGACACTGGATCTTAGAGGCAGCTTCTTTGAAGGGTCAGTTCCAAAATCCTTCAGTAACTTGAGCAAGTTGAAGTTCCTTGGTCTATCTGGGAATAATCTCACTGGGGAAATCCCAGGAGAACTAGGACAGCTTTCATCACTGGAGTGTATGATCATTGGGTACAATGAATTTGAAGGTGGGATTCCAGCAGAATTTGGAAATCTAACCAAGCTAAAGTATCTTGATTTAGCAGAAGGCAATCTTGGTGGTGAAATTCCAGCTGAGTTGGGAAAGCTCAAATTATTGAATACAGTTTTCTTATACATGAACAATTTTGAAGGCAAGATTCCACCGGCAATTGGAAACATGACTTCATTGGTGCTGCTGGATCTCTCAGACAACATGTTATCAGGAAATATTCCAGATGAAATAAGTCAGCTGAAGAATTTACAGCTTCTGAACTTCATGCGCAACCAGTTATCTGGTCCTGTGCCTTCTGGCCTTGGGGATTTGCCTCAACTAATGGTGCTTGAACTATGGAACAATTCCTTGTCAGGGCCATTGCCTAGTAACCTTGGCAAGAATTCACCACTGCAGTGGTTGGATGTATCATCCAATTCACTTTCTGGTGAGATTCCTGAAACACTTTGCACCAAGGGCAATCTCACCAAGCTTATACTTTTCAATAATGCCTTCTTGGGTCCAATTCCAACAAGCCTATCAACATGTCCTTCACTTGTTCGTGTTAGAATTCAGAACAATTTTCTTTCTGGGACAATACCTGTTGGTCTTGGTAAGCTTGGGAAGCTTCAGAGATTAGAATTGGCTAACAATAGTCTTACTGGTGGAATTCCTGATGACATTGCTTCTTCCACATCCCTTTCTTTCATTGATTTCTCCAGAAACAACCTCCATTCTTCTCTTCCTTCCACCATTATTTCCATTCCAAATCTGCAAACTTTCATTGTCTCCAACAACAACTTGGAAGGTGAAATCCCAGACCAATTCCAGGACAGTCCCTCACTTGGAGACCTTAACCTCTCATCAAATCGTTTCTCTGGAAGCATTCCAGCAAGCATAGCTTCATGTCAGAAATTGGTGAAATTGAGCCTACAGAACAACCAATTGACTGGTGAAATCCCAAGAGCAATAGCAAGCATGCCTACATTGGCCATTCTTGATCTTTCTAACAACTCTCTCACTGGTCAAATACCTGAAAGCTTTGGTATGTCTCCAGCTCTTGAAACATTCAATGTCTCATACAACAAACTAGATGGTCCTGTCCCAGTAAATGGTGTGTTAAGATCAGTAAACCCAAATGATCTTGTGGGCAATGCTGGCCTATGTGGTGGTGTCCTCCCTCCATGTGGCCAAGCATCTGCATATTCATTAAGGCATGGGAGGTCTCATGCAAAGAACATCATTGCAGGATTGATCATTGGAATATTATCAATCTTAGCCATTGGGGTTGCTGCTTTGGTGGCAAGATCTTTATACACAAGGTGGTACACTGATGGATTGTGCTTCCGAGAAAGATTTTATAGGGGTAGAAAGGGATGGCCCTGGAGATTGATGGCGTTTCAGAGGCTTGATTTCGCAAGTACTGACATTTTATCTTGCATCAAGGAAACAAATGTGATTGGGATGGGTGCAACTGGGGTTGTTTATAAGGCTGAGATACCACAATCAAGTACAGTTGTGGCAGTAAAAAAATTGTGGAGATCAGGATCTGATATTGAAGTAGGAAACAGTGATGACCTTGTTGGAGAGGTGAATCTTTTAGGGAGGCTAAGGCATAGGAACATTGTAAGACTACTAGGCTTTCTTTATAATGACACTGATGTGATGATAGTTTATGAATTTATGCACAATGGAAACCTCGGAGATGCCTTGCATGGTAAACAAGCAGTAAGATTGCTTGTAGATTGGGTTTCCCGGTATAACATAGCTCTGGGAATTGCACAAGGACTTGCTTATCTTCACCATGATTGTCATCCACCAGTTATCCATCGAGACATTAAGTCCAATAATATACTGCTTGATGCAAATCTTGAGGCAAGGATAGCAGACTTTGGTTTAGCCAAGATGATGATCAGGAAGAATGAAACAGTCTCCATGATTGCTGGATCCTATGGATACATTGCCCCTGGTGAGTTACTAGTTCATACATCTTACTTTTCAGTTTAATAACTACTTTGGTTTTCATAATAATTAAGAGCTTAGTTAAAAGCTCAAAGAGCATAACTTTCAATCAGCAAATTACATAGAAGAGAAGACTGCCTATATTCATATTTGTGAAGAGATGTTTCTTCTTTCTTAGATGTACAAGATTCACATTTCTAACCATTTCAGTGCTTTATTATTTGGCAGAATATGGATACTCCTTGAAGGTGGATGAAAAGATAGACATTTACAGTTATGGAGTAGTTCTGTTGGAGCTTCTCACAGGAAAGCGACCTTTAGATCCGGAGTTTGGAGAATCGATAGACATTGTAGGGTGGATTAGGAAGAAGATCGACAACAAATCTCCAGAAGAAGCATTAGACCCCAATGTAGGAAACTGCAAGCATGTTCAAGAAGAGATGCTTTTAGTTCTAAGAATAGCACTTCTTTGCACTGCCAAGCTCCCCAAGGACAGACCCTCCATGAGGGATGTTATAATGATGCTTGGAGAGGCAAAGCCTCGGAGAAAAAGTGGTAGGAACAATGAAACATTTGCAGCTTACAAGGAAATGCCAGTCATTAGCACATCACCAGTTAATGGCCTTCTGTAGGAACCAAAAATGGAGTTCCATGCCATTAAACATACTCTTCCATTGTACTTAGAGCTGTACTTTTGTTAATTTACTGTAATTTTGTAATCAATTCAGTGGTTCACCGTTGTTCTTAAAATAGATTAATTGTTGCAAATAATTTTTTTCAATGTATTATGATTCTGGTGAAGAGGCATATATTTAACCAGATAAAACAATTGTACCTAGTACCTATTATAATTTGAATAACACTTTTTATGGGTTGAATTCTTTTGTCATGTGTGTGTGTTATGCATATACATAAAATAGTTTACATTCCCTGAAGTCAACAGAGTTCTTATTAACAATCAGTTTGTGCTTGTCTAAATCAAACGGTATCTGCATCAAAATGAGTGTCACAATAAGGGATGGATTTAGGTCAACATTCCCGGCAAGCATTCTTTTTTAAACCCACAAAATTGCTTGTGCTTTAAGTTCTTGACCACAAGATTGATGAGAAACAGATCTTGACACACACTTTAGCTTTGTCTAAAAGCTAAAACCTAAAACCATAAATCACTTGGGACCGTGTTTTCACTAAGCATTATTTGTCTTACAATTAAAAAAAAAAAAAAATTATGGTTCCGATAATCAATATGACCAAACTAATAATTCCTAAATATAGAAACTTGAATTACAATAGCAGTTAAAGAAATTTCAATCAAAATTTGATGGCTGAGAAAGTTAGCAAGCATCCAACATTTACAGCATAAACAAACAGTGTAACTTGTATGATCATTATTACATCAATATCTATGATGCCTGCACCCTCCAAGTAATGAGGGATAGAGAGGCAGTAACAAATAAACCAAGAGAAGTTAAACAAACAGACACTGATTCATTAAGCAAAAAAAAAAAAAACAAGGTTTGATCATTTAAATCTCAAAATCCATTTACTTGCAGTATTCCTTTAATTTTCTTTCTGTTTTTCCTGTTCTATTTGTGTTACACTTAAGGCCATAAGTTCTCCTTATCCTTAGCCATGAAAACAATATCTATATGGGCTTGCTTTTCTGTCTGCAGTTCTTTTCTTCCAATCTTGGTCCTGCAAATATGTAAACTACAATTAGTAAAAGAAAAATATTTAGGGTAAGTTGTGTTAGAAATAATAATGCATTTGCTTACCAAGTCCATTAGCCTCAGATGTCCTCATGATTCTTAGCCTCCTCACCGAGCTAAGGAACATCCTATTGCAATTTGAAAAAGATAGATAGATCAATATTAAAGCAGAGAAAACAAGATCCTAATTGATTTTCACTATTACATCGTAAAAGTCAAAGACAAGTTAAACACTACAAGTTAATATTTTTTCCTTGTTCAAGAAACTGGATATAGATCATGGGATAGCCTACTGCACTCCTACGTGTACTTCTTAGCACAAAGATACAATTTTCAGAATTGCCTGACCAAATTAAACATTACATGTACTATTTCACAATACATTTATAAAATAAAATAGTTGTTTAGCAAATATACAGTGGTATCAGTGATAACATCACAGATTTAATAATAAACTACGGACCAATTACTTACCCCCAAGGAACATCTCCAACAAGCATCCAATCTCCTTCCTTATCTTCATAAGTGAGGACAAACTTGGAAGATCCATCCAACAATTTCGAATGTTTTTCTCCTCCAATAATAATGCCATGATCCTCCCCATTTGATCCTATTGACAATGATGTCAATACAATTGGGGAAAAAAAGTAATACAACACATTGAAAACACACAATTAAATGGTACCACCTATCTTAAAACCAAAATACAAGAGAAATAGAAAAAATGACGCACAAAAGAATTATTTTAAAGGGTTTGTTTTTCTCATGTTGCATGAGAAAACAAACCCTTCCTACACATACCATAAAAAGGTGTGCCACTCATTTTTTTGTTTTTTGTTTTTCTTTAAATAGGTGGGTCCCACACTTGATGTATCTATGACATTAGATTAGAATTCTCCTACAACATAAGATTTATTTTTCCCTTATTTTAATAATGGAAAAAGCTTGCTTGCCGTGGTGTGTCAGGTCGCGGGTTCGAATCAGCCTCTCTGCAAAAAGCAGGGGAAAGACTGCCTAGAGTATTCCCTTCCCCAGACACTCACGAAGTGGGTATTTGAACTGGGTCGGCCCTTCTTCTTTTTTTAATAATGGAAACATAGCATCAAATTATGGTATTTTACATTTTGTCCAATTCCACTAGGCGTTTGGGAAAAGTAAAAAATAGTTGCTTCATATAAAAGCTCCAGCAAACAGTCTTGAAAACTGTATTTGAAGAGAATCTTAAACAAACAGGCTGTTGTTTGGTGGTTTTTTTATATATTTTAATAGCGCAATGTTACAGCACCATAATAATGAGACATGCCTGAAGAAAAGGAGTACAAAGAACAAATCTATTCTTAACATCATGAGGGGAAAAAGGAGGAAAACTAAATCTTTAAACCCCTATCGCAGCCACCTACATAATCCATAGATGCTTGTCAGTTTTTAATTTTTCATTAATCTTCAAAAAACACCATTTTGAGTTAATCACAACATATGCATTTGCAAAGTTAAGAAGAGAGGAAGAAAGATTATTGGGCCATATTTAAAGCGGACACAGGAAAGAAATAGTACAAAGTCAACAAAATATTCAGCATGCAGATAAAATCTCAGTGATCTTGAAAACAAGACATAATTCAATGGAGTGGCATTCTCTTTATTACAAGTATAAAGACAGAAAAATTCACCTTTGCAAGTTATGAAAGGAGTTGATGCATTGAACATATCCTCCAAGGTTTGTGCTAAGGTTTCATAAGCACTATGAACTCTTAAATCAACCTTCCTTCCAATCGGTATCCCATCCATATTTACCTTGACCATCAGGGAACTCCTGAGGTGTCTTTTTTCTTTGAAATTAATGTTGTTATCATCATTGCCAATGTCAGCACTCTTCCTTACCACAGTATTATTGCTCTTAGTCTTCTCAGCCATAGAGTTGAATGCTTCAGTTGATTTTACATGGCTGTTAAAGCTATTCATTCTATATGTTCGAAGGGGAGGCCATCCAACTACCTGACTGTTTGGTAAATTCAATCACAACAGAAATGACAACCCCATCAGTGAAGAAATGAGAATAAAATGTGTAAATATTTGATTCATTTTGTTTCTAGAAAAGGAAAGCAACACCACAGACATCATTGAGAAAAATTAAAATCATGAACATCAAAATATAAAACAAGTTTCTTTTGCACATGGCAAAATTCTTGTTGAGAAATAGTAAACTGTAAACCAGTTCTTTTAGATAAAAGCAAAAGGATTACAATTTAAAAGCAAGAAAATTATTCTACAACTTAGTCTACTGATGCAAATCAATAACTCTGTATACTTCATACACTATATGGGTAACTCCAACCCCGGAAGTTCAGCTGCTTTTTTACTTTTGTCAAACATATAAAAGGTACTATTAAGAAATTGAAATGACCCACGGAGCAGATGAAAAGTCATGCCATAATTAAAACAGGGCCAGAATTACGGGGGTACTGCACCATACCACCACCACCACCATCCTTCCCCTCCTCTCAAAATGTTAAAAATTAGCCATGAAATTTTCAAAATGTTGAAACATATTGTAATTAAATATGACTTGCTCTTAGTTTCAGATAAGTTCAAGGAAAATTACAGCAATCTTTCTCTTCAGGTTTCAGAAGTATGAAACTATTCCAGTGCTGAGAATTTATGAAAAAAATTTCTTCCACATGTATGCAACCAAATGGATCTAGTTTATCATATATACATAAATAGTCACTTGTAAATACCCTTACCTCTCGTCCTAATAGTTACTATTTACTATTTACTAAACCCTCTTGCGGATTGTAGCAATACGGGAACAAAATGAGTTCTCATAGGGAAAAATTGTTGTAAATGGTAACCTCATAATAAGAATAATAAAAAAAAAAATTAAACCGATTAAATACTATAAAGTATCAAATTGAGTTCTATTAACCCCTTAATATCATTAGTCTTTGAACTTTCCAAACTCATTCTAGCCCATGGAATTCTTTAGATTAAGTAACACCACGTGATTCATATATTCACAAATTAAAAAAGAAATTGATGAATTTTGGACAGGAGTACAAAACCCAATATAATTCCATATCACATAAAAACTCAATAAGATCGAATTAAAATAAAAGACTGTATTAACAAGTATGTAACATAACCTATTGAAAACAATTAAAGCAAGTAAAGGAAGATTATGTTAAGATGATATACCTGGGACGGTTATTAGCAACAAGAGAATCACCAGGTCTCTTGGTCCCAGCTGTAACGTTGGCCGAGGAGGAAGAAGAGGATGGTGATGCTGCTGCTGAAGAAGGAAAATCCTTAGCAGTGAAGATTCTAGCATGATGATGTGACTTTGTTGGAGGTGCAGGGTTGTGAGAAAGGCTTAACCCAAGTCCCAATTCAAGCTCAGATTCATCTGGGCATGAAGAATCCTCAGAAGAGAGCACCAAGTTATCATCTTTAGACAAAGTTGACATCGACCCACCACTACCACAACCACTCACAACAGAAAAAAAAATCTGATTTTGATGATCAATTGTGCAAAACAAAGCCAAAGGGTTTCGCGAATTTTGAAGATTAAGTTTTGGGTGTTTGAGTACAATAAATGGTTTAGGTGGGAATGGTGATGGAAGGTAAGAGAAAGAGAGAGAGAGAGAGAGAGAGAGAGAGAGAGAGAGAGAGAGAGAGAGGGTGTCGGAGAGACAGGAAAGAAAAGACAGTGTGACCCCACATGTCTGGTTTGGTCTGATTTGTGCGGTTCTTCCATCAATGTTTTTGCTTTTAACTTCATTGTACTTTTCCTATTTTTTCTCCTTCTTCTAGATTCTCTCTCTTTCTCGTCGTTTTTCTCTGTGTACACTCTCGAATCACCATTGCAATTGGACACGCGACATTGAAAAAGATTTCATCTCATGAGATATATGAGGGATAGTCGCAAACCATGTGCTGCCACGTACATATTTGTTTTTTTTGCATTTATGTACTAAAACAATGTATTTTGTTTCTATCACCTATATGCATATATTGAAGTTGTTTTACTTTTATGAAGAAAATTAAATAATTGATAAGATGTATTTAGTCAGAAATGTATGCCTTAAAAAAAATTAGACCAATTAAATATTGAATTAGAGTACTTTTTTTAAGAATAACTTAATTTATTAGTTTATTCTTCTTAAGAAATGACACAAATTATTCCTATTTGTAAAATTTTATATTTAATTTTTTTAATCAATTTATTTTAAATATTTTATCTAAATATTCTTATTTGCAACTATCCCTTTTTATTTCTACAAGTATACAAAGTTGGACTTTTTATTATATAGGCGTGCATGTTGAAGGCCATTCTTTGTTTTCAAGCAAAATTTATAAAATTAGTTTAAGGTGGTTGAATTAGTAAACTTCTGCTGCGGGCCATTAGAAGACAATAGATATATTTAAAGTTTATTTGATAAGATGTATTTTAATAAATTTAGAGAGAAAAAATATCTGACTAATAAATTTAAGAGTATAGTCTTTTTGGATCTCTAACAAAAAAAAATATGGTTCTAACTTTTTTTCTTTAAAAAAAATTAATTTTTGGTCTTTCTATAATTTTAATTATTTAAAAATATGATTTCTCATAAATTCGATGAAAACTCAATTTAATTTTTAAAATATGAGTTTTTTTTTTAAGAGATAAAAATAGAGACGTAATTTTTGTTATGAATAAAACTTTACTCTAAATTTAATTTGTTGACGTGGCGCGAATACATGAGAAAAGATAGGTGAGAAAAAGAGATGGAAACGAAAAAAATGAGAAGAGCGTTTAGTGTGGTAGGACCCAGTGAATGGTGTCCAAACGACAAGGCGACAAAGGTGGGACCAGACATCACAGGGCTCGGGAAAAGGGAATTGGCCTGTCGTTTTGGGAAGAACCTGTGGGGAATGGCGACAGCCCATCACACCAATTTACCCATTACTTCCAAATTCAACTTTTCTTTCTGAAGCTTTCGGTTCAGTGGGTCCGTGGGGAGACACACATGTACATCAACTTGTTAAGTGGGTTATATTTTCTCACCCGACGTTATAAACAATTTATTATTTAATATCATTCTCAAATTATATATTAATATGTCTTTTTTAATAATATATTAATTTGTCTCTATTTAGAGGTCGTTTGTTTAAGCTTTTAGAAAAAGTGACTTTTATCATTTTCTTATTTTAAAAATATTTTATAAAAGTTAAAGCTATTTATATTTTTATAAAAATATTTAGATTTTGAAAAAAATATTTGGCTTTTGACTTCTGCTTTTCTTAGAAGTTAAAATTTTTAGTTTCTGAAAAAAAGTAAGTTTTTGACTTTTTTTGTGACTTCTCCTTTTTTAAAAAGGAAACATCCAAACGAACTAAAAACGAGAAGTGCTTTTTTTCTTGAAAAAAAGTAATTTTTGAAGAAAAAAAACTCATCCAAACGAGTTCAATATTCGTTGGATATTATTCGATTAACTTGCTTATTTAGTTGAGTAAGTGCCGGCCAAACATTATTAAGTATGAACAAACTAATATCTGATTTAAAAAGAGGGATACATTAAAACATATAATTTAAGAATAGGTAAAATGGTAATTTTATTTATTTATAAATTAATTAATAATTATTATTTTCTCACTCTCTATTCTAATGTTTTCTCTATAATTATTAATCTGTCTCACATAAGATAATTATTCCTGATATCACACATAGTGTAGGGTTGACGCTCAATATTGAATAAATATTCACTAACTTCATTGTGCTTCCTTCCCTTATTTAGCAACCCCTTATTAGTGCTTAAAATTTGCTTTCAGCTTCCAAACAATTTATTCCTTCAGAAACCAAACCTAAATTGTCATCCTAATTTAAATTTTGAGGCCTTTAGTTTAAGCCCAATTTGGACACAACTGCATTCGGCTTTAACAATGCTATGTTTGAAAGCTTTATAAATGATAAAAGGGAGTGACTGTAATGAAATAAAATGAAAAGATAATAGATAAAATATCCAGACGTTGTCACCTAATTTGAGGCCATATATTTGAAGATAAATATATGTTTGCACTTAATAAATACTCAGCTTATTGTACATTTTAGAACAGTGCAAAATAAAATGTAAGCTTACATAGTGAGATTCATTGTGAGAGTAGGTTATGGTTCATGATGTCAGCCAAGTCCATGCAGCACATGGTAGTTTCCTTTGGGACAAAGAAGATTAGGAAAGTTGCAATGAACAACAATGTCTACCATATAGGGATAACCAAATGTCATAATTGTACTGTTGAGAAGCGAGGACATTCTATCAAGTGAAAACACAAGCTGATCAATGAGAAATTGTAAGGTAAACTGAAATCAGTAGTTAGACATGTCTAAGATTCAACGAGCCTTCATAAAATTGCATCATCTCTAAATTGAAATTTTGGGAAAAGTTAAAAAAAAAATTAATAGTATTATTTTGAATCACTTACATTTACACCTTGTGCTTTTTTTTAGTCACTTAACTCTGTCGTTTTTTTCATTCACACCTTTCTTCAATATTGTTAGAAAACTAACTAAGTATACTTATTATACCTTTCTTATAAGAAAAAAATAAAGTGATAAAGAAAAAGGAAAATAAGACTAAATGTTATGAAAACTTATAACACTTAATAAAAGACTAAAATAAAAAATAGCAAAAAAAATCAAATGTGTTATAGGTCTAAGTAAAATAATAAATGTGTAAAAAAATTAGAATAAGAACAAAAAAATAGAAAAAAAAGATCAAATATATTAAAAATCACAAGAGTGACAGAAAAGATTTAGTGTATTTTTCTGTCTCTTAGTATAATAAGCACAAGAGCAGATTTAGTAAGTTAAGAAATAGATCTATTACATTAGTTTTTGAACTAGTAACAATGTAAAGTTTAGTGAGCCAATTCTTGCATTAGGTGAAAGAAAGGGCCTTGAAGGCCGTAGGCATGTGAGAGGGAAAAACAAAATTTTTCTCAAGCGGAATTACACATACCATATTAAGAAACATGCTTTAGGACATGGATGTTACCTTGTTTGCTTTCCAAAACTTGAAGATGATCAAGGTGAGGCTTGAAGATACAAGCCATCTAATGTTGATCCACACCACCCTTTGTCAAGACGGAAGAACCCTTCTTCAAGGCCACAAACGAACACCAAGGGAGGCAAGCTAGGCGTCCCTAATGGAGAGGGAGGAGGCAAGGTTTCAAGGTGTTTAGATGAGTTAATTTTCAATAAGAAAATACACAAGAGTGGCACATAGAATGGTAGGAGAAGTGGCAGATTTTTCATATTAAAACCCTTAGGAGAACTCCACTTTAAAAGGAGACTAAAGGAGGATTATATGCTGCTGATTTATGAGTCAGAAAATCACTCCAAAATCAGATCATGGAACGCACAAATCATGGAGAAAAAATAAGGCTGACAACAAAGTCAATTTATTGGTCTAACAACCATCATATGGCTAGCCTATTTGAGCGCCCCATTCAGCTATAAAATCCTCTCCTAAAATCAAGGACATGATTATGATAAGATGCTAATTGAATTCAAATTCAAATCTAGCTCTTATCTTCTCCTTTTTATTATGAAACAAACTACTATAGTCAATTCAAATTCAAAATTTAAATTCAAAATTTAAATTATGAAATTAAATATTAGATAATTAATTTAACTATTTAAATTAATTAATAATGTCTTGAACTATCCAAGCTCATTATCACCATCCATGCGCCCCCTTCCTTCTTAGGTAGGCTTCCAAACGTCTTCTTGGGCTAACAACCATTATTAGGTCCAGAACCTTTAATGCTATAATGTCAAGACAATAAGGTGTTAGTGTGTGACCCATTAGGTCCAACATAGCCACTGACATAAATGGGCTTGGGCTCAATAAGACCACAACTCATTTAATGACAACACAGAGCAATAACAATGCTTTGTTGCCCTAGAGCTAGTTAGGTTAATGACATGATCATCTTATTAAATATATTTGGTTACTATATGTTTTTTTCGTCTCGGTTACCTTCCCATTAAACCTAGGGTGAGGAAACTTATCAACCCTTGCAGTTTAGGGTAAGCTTTAACTTGAAATAGGGAGTCTTTAATTTACTGACTCTAAAGACAGATCATCTCATGATCTCCTTTACTATGCATAGATTCCCAAGTCACGTAAATATCATCTTGATTTCTCCGGTTTACAGATAACCTAATCTTTCACAGAGATTTGACGAATTTCTTCAGCTTGTCACCTTAGGCTCGTGTTCTTTCAGGACATGCCCAAAAGTATACCTATGAATCACCATGTTTCAGGCAGACGAGGTATACAATCAAAACATGCCTTCTAGAACACAGTCTAGGCGAAAACTTCCGGTCTAAGGAAAGACACACCCAAATAATAAGAGATTGCTCTAATGATACTATATGTGAGATTTCCTCATAGATTTTCTTTTCCGGGCCTGTTCAGTGCGAGCTATACCCTTATAGATCCACCCACGACTTTAGCTAAGACATCTCTATATGTCTGTAGCTCATGAGGTCTTTACCTTGTATCTGTATACAAGTAGATAAGTAGTGCTGGTCTTACCCGAGATTACTGATCCCCATTTTCAGTGTCTCTAGACTAGGAACATAAAATTAGGAATAAACATCTGGTATCCTTGAATCCTCATGATCGTGATCTTATCACAGATACTCAAGAGATACCCATTCTATTCCATGGGGTTTATCTAGTTACTCATATAATATATTAACAATTATATCGAGACAAAATATGAAACAGGATAAAGAGTGCTTATGATTTATTTGCGACAATATAAAAGGTACACATATGTCCTAATCTAATCAAAAGATTGTCTCTAGGACATCCATATACTAACATTAGGTCCATAAAATTGAATCTTGTGTGTATCAGTTCATGTGTAAAGACCAAGCTAATCAATAAACTACCGGGAAATTTATATGGTAAAATCTCTTCTTCTTTTTTTATACATTATATGGTACACTCTTGTTTTTTTATACAATCAATTGCTAGTAGTAAAAATGGTAGTATGCTATATCTGCAATGTCTCCAAATCATAAATAAACATCTCAAGTGTTTATGACTACAACCATTTCAAATAAACCAAAATTACAAAAAAAAATGTCGTTGAAACTAGGGGTGTTCAAAATGTCCAAAAGAACCAAACTGATCCATAACCAAACTGCTCCATATTTTAAAAACCAGTTATTTTTAAAAACCGGTTTCATATGTAACTGTATTTTATTTTATAAACTGATTATTTACCAAACCATAAAAATAATTGATTATCCAAGGTTATTCATAACCAAATTGCTCTACAATTAAAGAACAAATAAGTATTATTTTTTATCATGCCTATTATATTAGTCAATTGACTCAAACTTCCAAACAATAAAATAGCAAAAAAAGTTAAGCAACTCAAATAGAAAATATTTATTTAAAAAAAGTACACATAAATTGAAATGTCGCATCCTAAGAAAGCATTACTTACGTAACGTAACAACTTTTTTTCCCAAAAAAAAAATGATAAAGACGAAGGCTTTGAAATGACATAGATGAAGTTAAAAATCATTACGAAAATGGCAACGAAATTAATCAATTGACTTAACATCTCTGAGAGCGCCATTAAAAGGACAACTCACAACGGATTTACTTATTTGTTCTTTAATTATAGACAAGTTTGGTTATGGATAACCAATTATTTTTATGGTTTGGTAAATAACCAGTTAATACAGTTTCATATAAAACCGATTTTTAAAATGTGGAGCAGTTTGGTTATGGATTGTTTAGTTCTTTTGAACATTTTAAACACCCCTACCTATACCTTCCTCCATCAGTTCAAATGAAACTCTTAGTAACATAAATCTTGAGAGAACAAAGAGCAATTTTTTTTTAAAATTTTATAATAATTCAACTGTTCTTTTACCAATCACTCTCAAAACAACGTTAAACAATTTCTATAAGAATCATTTCGTCCGGAGAGTTCCAAAACAATGAAGATTCCTGCAAGAAACAGTTGGTCAACTACCTATAACCAAGAGAAACAAACAACTACTTATAAAAATAGCACAATCCATCAAAAACCGATTTTGAATTTGTTAAAAAACTGATTTTGAACTTGATAACCGGTTTATGGTTTATAACCGGTTTTGAATTAAAATCGATCTTCAATCAAAACCGGTTATAAACCATAAACCGATTTTGGAAATGGTTTCAAACCAGTTTAGAAAATTAAAAATCGGATTTAAAAAAAGAAAACCGGTTCGATTTTTGTTAAAATCGATTATGAACTGCTCCATGCACACCCGTAGTTGAAACATATGCAACATAATTTCAAATAAATTGAATCAGTTGCTGCAGCTTCTACTCTCCATCAAATAGGGGTATCAGTGAAGCTAATATCATCAGCTTCCAAAATTTAATGTACATTATTTTTCCCACAATCACCATCTTCATCTTCCATAGTTTTACACTGATCATATTCTTCAAAATTATTAGTCTTTCTCCAAATCAACAACCTCATCACAATATATTAAACTTTCACTCATGCCAATGTCGTCAATAATTGTTATTCGGGAGTGATCCATCTTGAATATATAAATAAAAAATAAAAAATTGAACAATAGTTAGAGAATAAGATTTTGAAAAGGAAATAAAAAAAATTAGAGAATCATATATCACATGACGGAAACTGTGATAAAGTGCCAATGCAATGAGCAGGATTATCTTGTATGACACTTGGCTTTCTTAAGGAATAAGCACTTTACTGCTCATGTATGGGTCCACAACATATTTGTATAAGCATAGTTTTCTGAAGGTAGCTATAGATTGCAAGACCAAAATCTTATAGTTTTTTTTCTGTCCATCATTAGCGTCTATTCTTCGTAATTTATAAATCTTTCTATAAGTATAATTTTAAGCTTCTTTATTCATACCTAAAGCAATAAAGTTTCATTTTAACAGCATTGAATCATCTAAAATTGGATATAGTATACAGTGGTGCATAAATAGTTACATAGAAAGATCCAAATCTCAATTTACTATATTATTTCATTATCCGTAGATGTTACCCTTTTCTCTCAGCAGTAGACTTGAGCTCAGATAGCACATATTTCTCCAATTGGTTAAGAGAACAGAGTTTGGAAAAAGAAGCTATGTGACCATTTGAATATGCCCACTTATTCGTAATTTCTTCATTTGGAACTACTACTACAACCAGCACTCACTTGAAGCTATTCCCACAGACCCAGATCTTAAAGTAGAACATACATAAAACAAAATCACAAAGCAGTGGATTTCCAAACTTTTAGGACACCGCACAACAGATATTTTCAAATTTGCTTAAAAATTTCATGTAATAACATGGTGAATTACCAATGGTGGAGCACGCCCGCTACAACAAATGGTGGAGGGAGCAATGAACATCCAACAATGATGCAGGGGAAGAGCGACCAACAATGAAGGAGCAAAACCACCAATAATGAAGGAGAAGAACGAAAAGGGAAAACAATTCGGGGAAGAAGACGAAGGAGAACCACTAGGGACGAAGAAGAAGAAGAATAAAGTGGGAAATCAATCAAGGGGAAGGACAAGCAACAAGGGAGAACAATTGGGGCTGGTCAGTGTTTTGTTCAAGACCTTTAATTTTTGAATTTATTTTTTTATTTTTTTATTTTTCAACCCCAAAATGACATAATTTTATGATAGCTAGAGAGAAGCTTATCTCAAGTGACTGGATTCACACAAGGTGTTTTCTAATAAAATGTTATACACTAGATAATAACAAAAATAAAATGGCATAATAACTTAAGTAATAGGACCGAGGAACGGAAGCAAGTTGCTGCGTAGGAGCTGCAACTTCTTGTGCATAATTTAATTGAGGTAGTGCGGCTGCTGAATGAAATTCTGACAAAAGAATCAGCACTCAATGCAACTCACAAAGCTTACGTTTAACATACATATAGAAATGAGACAATTCCACTAAGTTAGAGAAGTCAGCCTGAGATACAATAATGAATGCCTAAAACATAAGTTAATCCTAGTTCAAAAAGCTTGAAACATATGAACATCACATTTCTGGTTAATGCGGCGACAAGCATCTATTTACTGATTCACATCCATGAGATATTCGGCAAGTGATGTAACAAAATAAGATCTTGCCACTCTTGTTTTAACCGCAGCTTAAAAATCCTCTGCCTGGCGCTTCTTCAACTCTGACATGCTCCTGTGTGGCAAAAACACCTCAGCCCCCTGATAGATTGAACATCTCCAAAAATATTCAAAAACTGAAAAATCAACAGAAATCTCACAAGAAATTATAATATCACTAATTTTTTATACTACTGATAACACATGAATTCATTAACAAAATAAAACAAACATAAAAGAAAGTGTTTTGAAATTTTAAAAAAATATCAAATCGGTGGACCATATACTAAAACATGTAATGAATACATATTGATGTCATACCTCAATGATCAGGATGAGAAGGGCATGTACGTCGCGAGTGACCAACTTGCTTACAATACCCACATTTATTATGCCTAGGGTGTGATTCCACCAAGTCCATTTCATTCCTTATCCGTGTGGACTTTGGTCGACCCTTTGCACGCACGGTCTCCACATTGGGAACTAATCGTGGACCACTAGCAGGTGGAATGCTTTCCTCATTACCAATCGGCGACCACTGTGCAGAATATGTGTCAACAATGTTCTGGATTGAGTAAATTGGATCCACATACTGGTAGAAGTCAATGTCCGCATGAGCACATGCAGCTATAACATGGGAGCACGGAAACCTATATGCAGTGAACTTGCCACACTGACAAGTGCGTTTGCATAAGTCAACAGACACTAGACGACTGCCCATCTGCATAGCTGGGTTTATTATCTCCTCCACCTCAAACATATTCAAAATCACATCATGTGTTCGGACTTTGAAGGAACAGGCCTCCTCTTGGTTTTTTTGGATGGCATCAAGCAGCTTTTTGCAAAAGCGATTGCCAGCACTGAGTTCCGCACGGGCTTGTGAACCCTTTTGGACAAAGTATTCAACAAGTCTACTGTAAGTACATTTGACCAACGCTGTTATAGGCAAATTCCGAGCACCTTTCAGAATCTTATTTACAGTCTCGGGCAAGTTAGTAGTCATGTGCCCGTATCTTCGACCCTCTTCATCATATGCAATACTCCATTTCTCCTTCGAAATAGTATCAATCCAACTCGCAATTTCAGGGCTAGTTTGTCGGAATTTTTCCAAATTTCTGTCAAAATAAATCTTGGAAGTCATGTAACCTACATAAAGAAGTAATAACATTAGTTATAAAGTAAAAAAACTCAACTTGAATTACGATAATAAATAATATAAGAGGTTTCATACCTAGTTTAAATAAATCATTCTTTAACTTCACGTTCTTGAATTTATTATCGAAATTGTTGGCGATGTGTCGGATGCAATAGACATGATATGCATGTGGAGGCTGCCAACCAAGGTGTTCATTTGCGACCACCGATTCTATGCTTTGATGTTGATTAGAAATAAAACATATACCTTGCTTTTGGGTTACATGTTGACGTATGTTAGCCAAGAACCACGTCCAAGCCTCCAATGTCTCTCCTTCAACAATAGCAAATGCAATCGGCAACACGCAACAATTCCCATCTTGGGTTGTGGCGATCAAAAGTGTCCCCCGGTACTTGCCATAAAGGAAGGTGCCATCGACTTGAATTATGGGCTTACAATACTTAAAAGCATCACAACATTGCTTGAATGTCCAAAAAAGGCGATGAAACACTTGAAATCGATTGTCAACCTGGTTCCCAACCTCAAAATCCTTTGTTTCAATCTCGTACATAGAACCTTGTGCAAGCGATTGCATGTAATCCAACCATCTTGGCAATATTGCATAAGACTCATCCCAATCACCGAAGATCTTCACTATTGCTTTTTGTTTGGCTTTCCAAGCCTTCCTATAAGAAATTTTGAAACCAAAATCCCTAGAAATCTTCTCCTGAATGAGCGAGATCGAAAATGATGGTTCTTGCTTTATCATCCCTAACACACAATCGAATACAAACATCAACATTATTTAACAATAAAATAAATTTTTGAAACTATAATGCACAATCAACTAACACAAGTGTTTAAATAAAAGGCCATCATACCTAGTATGCATGAGCATATAAAATTAGAATCAAGTTGTTTATGATCTTGGGAACGATAGGGGTTCACACAAGTATGACGACCACCCCATCTGGTGATGATCCACCTATTTCCATATTTTGGCAACATTGCTCTCACCCTCCATGGGCAACCATTTGCATAATTTTGACATTTCATGTACAATAAATTTCTATTGCTTTCAGCCACAAAAGCTGTCTGATGTACTTTCATACAATGATATTTTATTGCCATCTGCACAGCTTGCTTATCCTCGAATTCTTGCTTAACAAATAATTCATCTCCTATCTGCCAAGAACCCTCCACGTCCCCATCAGGAATATCCCTCTCTTGATCAGGGTGATCCCAATTAATATATGTATAATGTGGACTTTCATTCCAAAATGGAGTATGAGTTTGACCTATACATACACATTTGTTATAAAATGCATACAATAAATGAATATAACATGCTAAGCAAATTATGCAATTAATAAACAAACCTTCCACCTGATGTGTACGTTCACTAACAAGTCCAAAAGATGCAACTGGAGAAGCAATATTAAGAGTGGTTGGGGAGTCATGCGGAACAAGATCAACATCGAAATCATCCTCCATGTCAGTATTAGATGAATTACCATCAGGAATTTGACCTTCGCCGTCGTCTTCACCATCCTCATTACTATCCATATTCCAAGCATCATCGTTATCTTCCCGAGATGTATTCAGACGGTGAATTGGTGCGGCTTCAGACGATGAGCCAAATCTATCATCATTACTAGAAAACGGTTGAATATTAATATCCAACGACCGAATTGGTAACAAAGAGCTTCCAACGGAGTTGATCTCGACATATAGCTCAAGCACTCTCATACGAGGCTGCTGCTGAAGCGCACTGATCATGAGTTCAATATCATCATCATCAGCAATTTCTACACCAGTGTATTGGTCCCCAGATACAAGAAATCTCAACGTCAAGCAAGAAACAATTTGATTTGCTTGTAGCTGCAATTTATCACTAATTTTCTTCTTCAAAGTATCGTAGCTCATGCCCTGTTTTATTTGTATTCCTCTTCTTTCACCTTCGAATGTCAGTCCAGTTGGACCTTTAAATTTTCTACCATTGTAGCAAATAATCACAATAAATGAACTCATTTTGGAGGAAGAGAAAGAGGTAGGAAGGTTGGGAGAGTTGGGTGAGGGAGAGAATGAAGGAGGATAAGCGTGAGATGTGTAGGTTTCAGTTGCAGATGTTTCAGCAACTACTGTATATCTATCTCCAATACTTGGACAAACAGTTCTAAACCTTCACTGAAAAACACACACAAAGAACGACAGTAAGCAGCTCAGCTCGTTTAATAAGTCAACAAACCGAATAGTAATATTCTAAGATTACAAATGAAGACCGATACGCGTGCAGTAGCAGTACAAAAAGATAAACCTAAAATTAGCATAATGCAGTATTGCTCTCGTCACTACTTCATAAATTCCGAATGCTTTGAACGCGAAATTTAAATTGACAAGTATATTCTCAAACCCTACGAGTGCACGAAAAACTATACAAATTTTAATTATTATTTGCGAAAAATAAACACAAACGCAATGCATGATCAGGATAAGGCATTTGGGTATAAACAAAGAAAAGAAGCCATAATAAAGTTAAACATGTGTTTTAATCGAGTGAAATCCCTAGGGATTCAACCTCTAAACGCTAATGGAGAGGGAGAGAGAGAGAGAGAGAGAGAGAGAGAGAGAGAGAATGCATGTACCTGAACAGAGAGAAACTGATTCGTTAGTGAAGAAAGTTCTAGTTGAGAAATTCTTGTGTAGTTCATTTTTCCAAATATGAGCTTCGCTTTGCTTCAATTGACGAAGGTTCCAAAAAAACAAACAAGAAAGATTGAATTATCAAAGCAAAAACCCTTCCTTGTATGTATATCTTGAGGGGCTATAGCCTTCCATTTTTAATTTTTTTTTTTAAACCCCCAAAACTTTTGAAATTTCTTTATTTTAGGTGCAATTTTTTTTCAGTCAATTTTTTTTTTAACTTACCCCTTACACGATGCTGTGTTTTTGGCTCATCAGATTAAATAATCTAGGAAAAAAGAAATTTAGGCAACAATTATCACAAAAGGGTTTGGAAAAAATTAGTTATATTAATTTTTTTCAAATTTAATAAAAAAATATACTGAGTATTTAATATTACGGAAGTAAGAAAAGATATTTTCCCAACTCGATTATTATATTTGTAGATTGTATATTATACTTACACAATTCTAATATCCTTGATCTCTCGTTTTAGTTTTTCGGTAGTCTAGTAAGGCATTGAGATTTGGGTATCGGTAAAAAATAAATAAAATAAAATAAAAATAAAAATCACAAAATATAAATGTTAAAAAACCAAAAGTACATGAATATCTCAAGAGAAAACAACTAGTGTTTCCAGTTGAAAATAAACTCAAAAAGATATTGTAAATTCACACAAAGGTTACAAATTGTCAATATTTTTAAAATACATATCCTTTAAAGTGGCATGTGTGATCTGCCATGACTGCACTCTTACAAATATTTCCTATTTTAAACTGTAACCTTAAATGGGCAACTCAATGAAACTAGCATTGGAGTCAAATTTCAACCGGCTTTGGAGCCAAGCATGGCCTCTTGTTAAGATTAAAAGTTGCTAAATTGCACTTTGCTTTTGAAAGGGTTTTGCCTTAACTTGATAAGACAAAACTTTAGCTTGAGCTCCCACCTTCCCTCTTGCATCTTTCTTTCTATGAGTTGAGGGTATATTGTTGTTGAAGTCATTCATACTTCCAATTAGTCTATCATTTTCTGAAAGCAAAATAACATTTACAAATCATATAAGTGTAAACATTCAAGTTGAATATGTTTCAAATTTATAAGCCCCATAAAAATGTAAAAAAAAAATAAAAAAAATAGATGTTACCACCCATTTACGTAAGACTAATTCTCTTCGAGGCATAGATCGTAAATATTTTTATCATTAGCTCCAAATTACTTCACCTAAAAATCAAACTAGAGATTTTTATGTCTCAATAGCTTAGACATTGCCCGCTTATCAATTGTGTCACCCCTATTGGTAATTTTGTTATTATGTAACCTTAACCATTAACATAAATGAGCATTTTCCCACTAATAACAATTACCAGGACTAGATAAGACTGCACGTGGGCGTATAACAGGACTGGCTCTAGCATTTTCTTTTGGACTCTCACCAACTTGTTTGCTACTCTTCAATATTCCTGTGGAAGTTGAAACATGATTAAATCCACATCAGTTTCTCCCTTAACCAAAAGAAGCAATGCTGAATTGATATACCTTCAGTTGAAGGAGTGGATCTCATTGTTATATGTTGAGGAAAAGCCTTTATGTTTTTGGAAATTGATGGTGGACATTTGCTCTGATTCTTCTCTTCAGCTCTCAAAGATTAACAATTCAGTGTTTGAAGGGGTAAAAAGATAGGTATTGTGGCTAAACCAAATTAATATTCATTCAAGCTAATTACCTTCAAAGTATAGGGACTCAATGAACTTCAAAAACACCAATGTTCCACTATCATTTTCAGCATAAACAAAGTCTTCTTGCTCTGGGACTCTCACTTTCGCTCTTGGATACACTTCAAAAAATTAACATGTGAATACAAGGCGAAGAAAAAAGTGATCAACGCTACAAGATATTGAAAAGAAGACATAAGTCAATCCACGTAACAAAAACTACATAATGATAACCAAATAAATTGTTAATATATGACAAATTAAATAAATAACTTTGAAGAGTTGAAGAATGGATGAAACCCAGAACGATCTTCTGCCATTTTGTTACTTTTTGTAGTTAAAAACTCCGAAGGATGGTTTAACATTTTCAACATATGAAATCAATGTAACATAGTTTTTGTCTTCACATGTGGAATTAGTCAAAAGCTAAGTAATAGAACAAAGAACCATACAAGCCACGTGAAGGTAACTCACTTTTATGTGCTATTTAAAATCAGAGTTTGGAATAGATTTGCTATTGAAAATATGGAACATTTTGAAAGTTGAAACTTCTTGTAGTTTATAAAGCCCGGCCTCAATGCACAAGAGCCTAGCTATTGGCACTGAGGAGGAATTGTTAAATGAGTAAAAAAGAAGTAACAAAGAGTGGGGTAAAGTGAAAAATGCTAATTATGTTTCTTTACTTGAACACCACGGAGGTTATGATTGTTCAGATTACACGTGAGTGGTACTGAGTGAGAAATATGAATTTTATAACATTATAAAAACACAACCTCAATGCTATGGAGTATTGAGTGAGAACTACTCTACCCTCCATCAAGAAATATTTGAAAAATCTTATGTATGGTGGTTCGATATAGTGGATCTGGTGGTTCTATTAATGTAAGGTGGAGCTGGTGACTATATAGTGGCTACTGGTTCCTAAGAAACCAAGAAGGCCCAAGCAACGTTTAACAATTTGTTTTGGACCCTTGTTTGTGCCCCACGAGACCCACTTCAACATCCACATCATCCGGTTCTCTCTCCCCCTTCGGAGGAAAATTTTTAAGGTACACCTATGGCACCACCGATGCGACGAACAATCAAAATTAGAAAGAGAAAATGAAAGTTGCACAGAGGAGAGTGAAAAAAGAAAATTATTTCAGATGTCAATTTTGAATGAGGGTAGCACATGCGACCTGTGCACCGAAAATAATCTTCCTTCGGAGCAATCTCGTTATTTAGATGTTCAGGTACTTCTTTACAAATATAAAATATAAAAAATTTACAATTCAGGTTGTATCAAGGGGTATTTGGTAGAAAAAAAAAATTAAAATCCTGCGAAAGTGAGATTGGAAATTCAATTTATACATATTTGTCACGAAGATTATAAATTTTTTTCCCAGGAAAGTCAAATTTCCAAAATTCATGTTTATGAAAAAAAAATTCTATCTTAAAATACTATCAAACTTCAATTGCAGAGTTGATAAACTTTGCTCCAAAAGTGGGAAAAGCTAATTCACATTGCTCTAATACCCAACTATGCATCAAAGAGTCTTGTTCAGGCAATGGTGTCATCAAAACAACGTCCCAAGAATGAGCCTACGACTAATTCACTTTCCGAGAGAACTTAGAACTGCAATAATTACTTAAATGAGATTATGAGTATGCTATTGATTATATTTCTGCAAATATTGCAACAGCTATCGAGATGACAACAAGATTACTAGTTGGAAATGGTGTTCTTTTGTTGTTGTAATTTTTTATCTCAAACAAAAGCAAGGAGCTTTGGTCCAATGATTGTTGATTAGAAAATAATCCCAGGATGAGTTGATTATCAATTGAGTAAATGCTGATTAGAATTTATAAGAAAACGCAAAAGCAAAAGCAAATGAAGGTGGAATCAAATAAAGATAAAATAGGTAATTTAAGTGATTAAAAAAATAATATAGGGATAATGATTTTAAGAAGAACCACAAATTTTCTCTAAATATTTTAATAAATATATAAAATCAAATCATTTTACATTAACAATTCAATTTGTACCATAATAAAAAAGAAAAAATATTTGTCTTTTCGAAAGATATAATCTTGTGTCATTTTAGATGCTGACCGTTGATTTTTATCAATTAATGGTTATAATTTATTACGAATTACTAATTAATTAATAAATTTGACCTAATAAAATATAACCATTGATTGACGAAAATCAACGGTTATGATCTACAATGACACAAAGTTATGTCTTCTAAAGAATAAATATTTTTTCCTAATAACAAAATAAGGAGATTATATTTATGGGTTCACTTTTTCTGCAGTTACTGCAGATGAGTTATCTGCAGTAAGCCCAATACGACGTCGTTTTGGGGCGAAAATCATGTTATTTTTGTAATTTTAATTTATTTCAGCGTTATAATAGTCTTTATATTTATAATTTTTTAAGATTTCAATACCAAAACGACATCGTTTTGGGAATAAATGCAGATAACTTATCTGCAGTAACTGCAGAAATATTTTTCTCTATATTTATCATTGTTTTTTTTACTATCTCTTATTACCTATTATGTTTCTTATCATCTCTTACTACCAACTTTGTTATTATTAGATTGAAATCAAATCAACGGCTCTTACTTGATATCATTTCGTAATCGTTGATTTGATTTTGATCCAATAATTACAAAATTGATATTAAGAGATAATAAGAAAAAATTGGTAGCAAGTATAATATATGGGAAAAATGTGTGTCATTTTAAAGGATGTAAAGTTGTGTCATGTTAAGAAAGAGAAAGAGATAGATAAAGGAGGAGAGAGTAGACAAAAAAAATAAAGGTGTGGGTCCCACCTCTTTGTGAGAGTGAAATGATATAAGTTGTGTCATTTAAAAGGATAAACATTTTTTCCAAAATATATCCCTATATTTAATAATTATCAAACTAACAGCTAAAAAATATTGAATAATTCACTTTAGGAATAGCACCCCCTTATAAATATTAAACCAACTATAAAAACTCCAAAAACCTTGAAGAGGCTAAACCCTAAAGTGGTTGGTGGTTGTAATTTTGACTCTCGTTGTCTTGTTCCCATGGCGTCGCCAGCACGAAGAGGTGGAGTCTCTCTACCAGACAGGCCAAGCCATTCAAAGGAAGACCAAACCTCCATAATCACCAAGATCTCACGCTCCCCTCTCGTATCACGCGGCAAGCAAGCCGCCGGCGAGGCCGCTTTCGTCGGCAAGAAACTCCTCAAGAGCACTGGCAAGGCCGCGTGGATAGCCGGAACCACCTTCCTCGTCCTCGTCGTCCCTCTCATCATCTCTATGGACCGCGAGCAGCAGCTCAACGACCTCGAGCTCCAG